AATGGCGAAATGACTTCGTCAGCATCACCCTTGGGCTCAGGCTTGTGATGTGCGACGAGATGCATTCGGGGATCCCCTCGGGCCCTTTCTTCTCGAGGCCCCTTGAGTGTGGACTCTGCTTGTGACTCGACGTCCCTGATGTCCTCGGGTATCCTACGACGGAAGTCCCACCGAGACAGGCTCGCTTTTTGGCCCGTTTCCAATTTCCCCTTGGGGGCTGACCACCCGCTTTCAAGGTCATGCCCCTCGAGCGAGTGCCCAAGCCAACCTTTTCTGGAGGCCTTTTGCTTGGGATACTTGGAAGGGTTTTGACTAAGGCCCTGGTCCTCGCGCTTGCGACTCCACCCACTCACACTCGTCGGCTGCTCAAAATCGTCAAGTCGTTGCCGAACCTTGGCATTTTCCTTTTTAAGTTGCTTAATCCGTTTGCCCATTTGTTTTCCACCATTTCAACGATATCACGAGCCAAAAGGTCGTGTCCCCCAAGGCCTTGATCCATAGGGGGCGTTCGTTGTGATGAACGCTCCCTTCCACCTGATTGGCTCAGAGGACCTGGTTCTAGGATCATTGGAAGCCGGACAGCCTCTGCGTTCCTTACACGCATACTTGCTCCTCTTTTACCCTGAGTTCGAGTGCTCACCATTAGATGAACGCTACAAGAAAAGATGCTCGACTTCCCACAAACGGTGTCAAATTATACGAGATAATTTCTACAATAATTTGAAATAGCGACCTTCAACCTGGTGAATCTACAATAATCATAGTGTCAAAAAAAGGGGGTCAGGTGAACACCCGACATATCCCCTCTGAAGCTTAAGTCAGTCTCAAGATTCGAGGTTTAAGATCAATGAATATGATTTTTCTGATTCAATGTTGCGTACCTTTGCTCACTTTTCTGAGGGGTATCTATACCTGGATTAGCAATGATTGCCGAAGACCCCCCCCCCCCAGTCCCAACTGGACATTTAATGTCTGACACACCTCTTCCTGCGCAGTGAATGTTCTCCACTTCAGTCTTGTCCCATTCAATGCTAGGATTGACAAGATAAATGCTCGGCGTCATGTCGTGCATTTATGCCTACTCACAAGCTTCCACTTTCCTCCAATCGGCGTGACCCGCAACTGCGCATTGAATACTCGGGGGGAACAGTTCCTTGGGAAAAACCGAATGCAAGTATTCGGCGTAGCAGCTATCAACGCCTAGCCATCATGATAGTAGGCCTACACTCTCAGAATGCAGGCGCTTATTAATGACCCTATCACCATCACTAATTCTGTCATAAATGAGCTGTCACATCATATTAAATGCGGTGTCAGCCGTCATACTCGGCTCCTCCGAGGCTTAATATCTCGACTTACCTCTTCGGTGCCTTTTGATCATCTCAACGACTCCGTTACTCCACTCAGTCTATGGGCTGCAAACCCACCTAGAGTCCCACCAATCTTGGTGTACAATGTAAAGTTAAAATACTACTACTAAGTTGTGCCCCTCACGAGGGAGGGCATCGTAAGGTTTGCATTGCGTAGAGTTCCTAAACTAGATAGTGGCGGACTCGGGTGTTCCGCAAAGCTCTCCGTCTATTGTTTCCGATGTTAGTGAGTCAATCTGCACATTAATTTCCTTCTTTGAGTGTGGAATATTGGAATTTGGTTAACGTTCATCACTTGTTTGCAGTTTGATATGAGTGCTCTGCTGGAATGGATTTCACGCAGTACACTAGCGAGGCCATTAGAACGAGGAGCAATGTTTTTTAGAATGGCCCAAAGTTCAGCCCGCAGACTAGTAGATGTCTCCAAGAGTTTTGTATGGATGACAACTTCCCACCTGCCTTGTTCATCCCTCACGAGTCCACTTACTCATACCGAGTCCGGGTTTCCTTTTGAGCAACAGTCCATGTTCAATTTTCTCCAACCTAGAAGGTAGAAAAACCCAAATTGAGACCATAAGCAAACCCATAAATCCTACCATCTTTGAACTATGAGATATATGGTGAGTGAACGATGATAGTTCAGAATGGTCACCGAACTTTAGATACGACAACGAGTTAGGACAATCTTCTTGTAAACGTGCAAAGGCGATGGTAAAGTTAATCGAAGATATTTTAGAGATTAGAGGAAGCTTGTAAATGTGTTCGATTCACTTACCTCGATTTCATTCATGGCCTCCCCTCTTATAGGCTGTATGATTAGTTTGCTTGCGGATCCTACTCCACTTAAAGCTGAATTGGTTACTCTACTTATTTGACCCAGTCTTATTGACTAAGAAGAGCGAAGATTGAGATTCTGCCGAGTTCTATGGTTCTTGGAGTGGTTAGCTGCCGAGTTGGAACTAATCCAAGTTACTGAGCTCGGCACTCCGAACACGTGCTTTTTTTTTTTTTTTTTTTCTGTTTATCAGTGACCAATGCTATTAGATGATATTTAGATATAATTTGTTNAGAGTGGTTGGCTGCCGAGTTGGAACTAATCCAAGTTACTGAGCTCGGCACTCCGAACACGTGCTGTTTTTTTCTGTTTATCAGTGACCAATGCTATTAGATGATATTTAGATATAATTTGTTGACTTAATCAATGACGGTTATTAAACTAATAATGAACCTTAATATTAATTGAGACCTATTTTCAATCTCACGATGATAAGTTATAAGTTTATAATATTAAATTACCAATTAATCCAATTTAAAAAATATAGGTTGATTGTAAATCAATTTCGCTGGAATGTAACCGGATTTAAGTGTATCTTAATATTCAGTATAGTACAAGTGTACACCAAAATTAACATAAAAAATTATAATTGGAAAATACAAACTGAATTTACAACCTTAAACTCACCGAATGTTTATATTAAATTATCCTTTTCAAATAAGGTGGTACAATCAATATTATTTAATATTAATAAAATCCACATATTTGATGGTGATTAATAAGCTTTATCAATTAAGACGAGATTTAATATTGAAATTTGCTCCAATAATAACTAATGATAGTTGATGATGAGCTTAAATTTAACTAGGTCAGACCCAATTAATCAAGCAAGCCCAAGTAAGTCAAAAGACAGCCCAAACCCATTTTATCAATTTGACCCAGTCCAAGCTTCAAAGAGCCCGGAAAGATAAGAGCATGTAGGAGAGAGATTATCGGAATATATACTCATGAATACCAGTCCTATCTTAATTGTACTTACCAAAGAAGTAGTGCTCTCTCACTCACGTTACCGTCTCATCAAACCTATATATTGTAAGCTCTCTCCACACAGAGAGACATATCTCCTAACACACCTTGACATCTCTATACACCTATACACATAGATTCTCTCTCCTAAGCCATGATACCTCTCCCAGAGCATATATCTCTCGGAACTCTCTCTGTTACTTTATTGATCAACAAAAATCATCGGCTACCGTTATAGGATTTTAGAATAAAGTAGGTCACTCGAAACAAACTACTATATATCTTTATGTTGATTCGATATTTATTGTTTTATTTATTGATTATTAATTATATCTCTTCACATACTCGAGTGTCGATCTTGCACAAGAGCAATTTGTATATCATTAATTAATATGACAACAACAATAATGTATTATCTTTTTTTGTTCCCCCGGTAGATGTAACTGCTCGAGGAAAAAAACTATAATAAAAAAAAGTATATTTTAATCTTCAAAAGTTAGGGTGTTAAATAAAAAAATAATATCTAATAATTTTTTAGATTTATTTATATTCATTGATAATAAAATAAGTAATTTTTTGCATACCATATTTTTATTTGAAAAGTGTAAAAATAATAATAATTTAATTCCATAATGAACTCCTACTATTCACCGCCCACAAACAATAATCAAAATTTTGTCTCAGTCACCTAAAAATAAAAATATTTTTAAAATATTTTAAAAATAGAATAGAAATGAGTAAAAATATAAATTTTTTTAAGGCTAAAACTTTTTAAAATACTTTAAAATATTTTAAAACATTAATCCAAACTATCAAAAACATTTGAAAACATCTAAAAAAGAATCTCAAAGTATTACAATTTTAATTGGAAAATTTCACCCACAACTTTTTTAGTTTATTATATCTTAAAGGACACCCTTTTTATTATCAAAAATATCACTAACACCCTTTTCTAATTTATATTTAAACATCATTTACGCCTCTTACCATTAAACCACCATTTCAAACAAAAAAAAAATTAACAAAAATACAAAAAAATGTTCATATATAAACCCCAAACAATTTTTTCTATATAAAATTCAATTAAAATTTGCGCCAATTAAAATTCATTTTTCTACATACTAAAATTCAAGTTTATTAAAATTTATTTTTTTACATATTAAAATTTGAGTCGATTAAAATTATATTTGAACTTATTAATTTTTTTTTACGCATTAAAATGCAAACCTATTAAAATTCGAGCCAATTTTAATACATATGAATTAATTAAAATTTCTATTCTTTTATGTATCAAAAATGGGGTTTATTAAAATTCAATGTGAGTTGATTAAAATTTGATTTAAGTGATTAAAATTTGCTCAAATAGAATTTTAATCGATTCAAATTTTATATGTTAAAAATAGAATTTTTAATCAATTCAAATTTTAATACAAAAAAAATAAATTTTAATTAATTCTAATCGAATTTTAATCAGTTTGAATTTTAATACGTAAAAATTTAAAAAATAGAGAGGTTTCATTGAAAATATGTTTATTTAGAGAGGGATGTGAATGCATTTTTTCTTCAAATATATCATGAATAATTTAATAAAATTATATTTTAATTAATATTTTTAATTTGATGGGTGTTAGTGAAAATTTTAAAAATAAAAGAGATGTCTTCGAAGAAATAATAAACTAAAACGGGTAGGACTGAAAATTTTCCATTTTAATTCTATCGTTGATTAGTTACTTTTCGAATTTTTCATACTTCATATCAAAACTGAAAAGTCAATGTCTTTCAACACAACAAACCCTCTCACATCACCTTTTTGCGCCTACCTCCTGCAATCACCTACCCTCAAGTCCCCAGAGTTTACCTACACCAGTAACATCGTTATCTTCTTCACCCTTCATAGCGAACCTCCCTACTTTTTCCCAGTTCTTTACCACTACCTGCTGCTCCACAGTCCACTCTGTATATCATATCCCACCGACACCCATTTTGGTTCACAATCGCACGCAAAAGTACAGATTTATCATGCAAATGCAAAATAATTGACCACACAGCCCAAATCTTTGTAGCACCACCACATGGGTTGCTGTCTTAGCACCACCACCTCCACCGTCCCCAAAACAAACCACCCAAATGCCATTCCTCCGAACCACCACCAACGCCAGTTTTCGGAATCTGACGCCAACCCCAGAGCTCCACCTCAACCAGAAGAAGAAACCGTAAAAGAAGTCCTCTCTGAAACCCCCATCCAAAAACAAAAACCGCCCATTCCAATGGTCACCCAGAAAACCTCTAAGCTTGACGTCCAAGAGCTGAAGATCGAAGCGGCGGTTGAGATTAAACCCGCCACAGAAGATATCGTCTCCGACGTCTCAGAAGTCTCAGAGATGTGCAGCTTCACGGAAAGCTTTTCAACAACAGTCACCGAGAAGAGGGATGACGACGGAGAAGTAAATCAAAGAATGGTCGAGAGGTCCCCGGCGAAGGTACCCAGAAGACGTCCGGTCAAAGGAGAGATCGCCGGAGCTAAAGAAAGACCAGTCAGGTCTGCGACACGTAAATCCACGCCGTCGCCAGGAAAGAACACTCACGTGACGCCATCAACGTCGCTTCAGGGTCGGACAGTGGGGATGCAGAGACGGAATGTGGGACCACCCAATGGGCTTCGTCGTAATCCCGGCGACACTTCCGGCAGGAGGTCGAGGTCTCCGGTGACACGTGACGAGGTGGGTACACGTCGAAATGTGAGGAATAAGAGTCCCAGTCCGAGTTCTAGTACCACCCGGCTGTCCGGTGATCGGTCACCAGTGAATAAATCAGGTAATGGCGGTCGTAATTTGGATAAGCCGAACGACGACGTTTCGCGGGAGACCAGCGAGTCGCTTGAGAACCCTCTTGTTTCCCTAGAATGCTTTATTTTTCTGTAGGCCTTTCAATATGGTTTTTGATCAATGCATTGTCGTATTGTTGGTTAATACACACCAGGACGTAGTCGTTTAAGGCTCTTTTGCCTTGATAATGATATTGTAAATGGTACAATAGTAGATTATTATTTTTTTTGGGCAGAATATGGTTATTTACATTCGAGCATTTAATTCAAGATGAAAGAATGAAAAAGACGGAACAAAATAGATTGCAAAGAATTAGTCGATCATTTAGTACAAAATAGAAAATTTGGAATGAATCGAAAATTGGGAATAATTTTACGGCAAGTTTCTTTGCAAAAAATAATTTCTATAACCAAATTGACAAAAGTTATTTCATTTCGCATTTGGTCAATTATACAAAAGATTAATTTCTCATGTCCACTTCATCGAGCTTCAAATATTGTGTATTTTTTTTCGGATTTCTCTTCACCTCTATGTACCTCTATTTTCTCCGTGATAGAAATATGTTAGAAAAAATGTGTAGAGAATGTGATATCTTTTGGGATGTGTGTGATGTGGTTGGAATGTGCTACTTGTGTTCCCTCTTTAAGATGAACATTGATGTATGAGCGGGCAATACCTCTCTTTTTGCCTCGGTGATTGGTTTGCTGTGCAATCTCTATGAATTAAAGTGTACAAATCACTGTATTGGTTAGAACATGGTATAGGACTGCTGCGTCTGTAAACTTTTAAACAAGTTTGTTTTTATTTTTTTGGAAAATTTGGAGATCGATATTTCTTTGTGGATTTATTTGGTGATAAATTTATCAAGAAACTTGTTTAATATTAAATTTATTTTGATCTTCATTATCTAAAATATTCTCAGTAGTTATATTTAATTACAACAAATTTAAAAATTAACAACTTTTAAATTTTAAAAATTTGACTAACATTAAAATTCTCTTTCTCTCGCATATTTATCTTCTAGAAGAATTAAGACCGGTCGAAGAAATGAACGATCGATCGAGAGTTCATATCATACTTTTATCCCTTAATTATCACATTTTTATTCCTTAAATAATCAAAAAATTCCTACTGCAGTAAAAAAATATTCAATATTTTTTAAATAGTATCATATTTTTATTAACAACAAATAAATAATGAATAAAATTAAATAATTAAAAGAATTGTAAATAATGCTTCTAACTATTTGGACAGAGTATAACATTTTTGGATTGAGTTTCATTTTTTGGGGAGACTCGGATTAGCTAAATTACAACTGTTTTGGTGAGATTTCAACTATTTTGAATTGTGTTATAAGCTTTTGGAATTAGGTTTAATTTTTTAGAATTGTATTATATTTTTTGGGGGTGGTTCTAACTTTCTGAGATAGGAATTCCAACTCTTTGGGAGAGAGATTCCAAATTTTTTGAGTAGGGGTTTTAATTTTTTTGGATAGGGAATCCAATTTTTTTGGAAAGGGGGTCCAACCTTTTGGGTAGAGGTTTCCACTCTTGAGAGGAGGGGTTTAAACTTTTTTAGATAGAAGTTCTAACTTTTTGGGGGAGGAGTTCTAACTTTTTTAAATAAGGGTTCCAACTTTTTGGATTAAAGTTCCAACTCTTGGGTAGAAGTTCCAACTTTTTGAGAGATGAGTTCCAATTTTTTAAGGTAGGGTTCTAACTTTTGGGGGAGGAGTTCCAACTTTTTTAAGTAGGGATTCCAACTTTTTTGGATAGGGGTTTCAACTTTTTGGGTAGATGTTTTAATTCTTGGGGGAGGGGTTCCAACTTTTTTGGGTAGGGGTTCCAACCTTTTGAGTAGAAGTTCCAACTCTTGGGGTAAGGGTTTCAACTTTTTTGAGTAAGGGTTCCAACTTTTTTGGGTAAGAATTTCATCCTTTTGGGTAGAGATTCTAACTCTTAGAGAAGGAATTTTAACTTTTTTGTGTTAAATTCTAATTTTTTTGGTATGAGTTATAACTACTTTTATGGTTCAATACTATACTGGTGAAATCGATTTTANTGTTAAATTCTAATTTTTTTGGTATGAGTTATAACTACTTTTATGGTTCAATACTATACTGGTGAAATCGATTTTAAAATGAGCCACGTGTAACACAAATAGGCGAATTTACTCTTCGGTACGGTACCGAAAAATAAGTTGGCGGTATAGTAGTCTTACCCTTCTTGGATAACTTCTTCCCACTAAGTCCTGACCCACTACCTACAGAACCAAAAAAAGGTGATACATTATATCTCCATTTTTTATGAAGTATCCAGCTAAATGTAATATATTCCATTTTTGCTATTAGTTACATTAAGAAAAAGGGTTAATCTTATTTTACACCTCGAAAGATTGTTCGAATCTCAATTTACACCCTCAAAGATCAAAAATCTCAATTTACACCCTCAAAGATAGAAATTTGTATCAATGTGCACCCCCAAAGATCAAAAATCTCAATTTGCACCCTCAAAGATAGAAATTTATATCAATGTGCACCCCAAAGATAAAAAATCTCAATTTACACCCTCAAAGATAGAAATTTGTATCAATGTGCACCTAAAATTAAATTGATAAATTATACCTAAATCCCCTCATATTTGTCAGTTAATCATTTAGACCTCTTCACATTTAGAATATTACTCCTACATCTTATGACATTTGTGCACGTATAACACGTAACCCATTTTCATTGATATCTATTAATATAACCGTTAAAAAATATAATTTTATCCTAATAAAAAATTATAATTTCATATTACCCTTTATTTTATAGGTTCAATATACTATAAAGTTCAAAATCTAGTTTACCATTTGAATGTCTAATAAAATATAAATATTTATATAATATTTTTCATATTACCTTTTATATAAATATCTACATTTTATTAGACATTCAAATGGTAAGCTTAATTTTTAACTTTAGAGTATATCAAATCCACAAAATAAAAGATAATATAAAATTATATTTTTTAACAATTATATTAATATATATCAACAAAAAGTGGTTATGTGTTACACATGCATAAACGTCATGAGATGTAAGGGGAATATTCTAAATGTGAATGAGTTCAAATGATTAAGTGACAAACATGAGGAGATCAAAGTATAATTTATTAATTTAATTTTAGGTACACATTGATACAAATTTCTATCTTTGAAGGTGCAAATTGAGATTTTTTATCTTTTGGGATGCACATTGATACAAATTTCTATCTTTGAGGGTGCAAATTGAGATTTTTGATCTTTGGGGGTGCACATTGATACAAATTTCTATCTTTGAGGGTATAAATTGAGATTTTTGATCTTTGATGGTGTAAATTGAGATTCGAACAATCTTTTGGGGTGCAAAATGAGATTAACCCTAAGAAAAACTCTACATTATATCCAACTAAATGCAATATATTCCATTTTTGCTATTAGTTACATTAAGAACAACTCTACATTATATCCGTAGTACAAGAATACAACTCTACATTAAACTGTTACTTCCTTGCCTATTAAAAAAAATAATAAAAAAATAATAATAAAATAAAATGANCGTAGTACAAGAATACAACTCTACATTAAACTGTTACTTCCTTGCCTATTAAAAAATAAAATAAAATAAACTTAATGGGACATATAAACTGTTACTTCCTTGCCTATTAATACATCTTCTGAGTTTAGTAGGGAAAAACCAGGAATTCTTGAGGTTGAATATATACTCTACTATGCATTTGTTTTCTTTTCACAGCAGAAAAACAGTAGCCTTGTTTCTTGATCTTTGTGTTTTAACCATGAAAATTGTAAACTTTTATTAAGAAATTCAAAACACCAGAAAAATTGCAATAATCAACCTAGTAATCGGTCGGTGCACAGGTAGAGTCAGATTCTTATTAGGGACTACATTTTTCCTGAATATTGATAACAAAGAACAGGTAAAAATTGGTCACTGAAATGAAAGATAATAAGAAAGATCACCGGTGAAGCAAAGAATATTCAAGAAATTTACTCTGGCAAGCCACTTCTGTTGTTGATGGCACATGGGTAAGGTGCAGCTCCGACGATGTTCCGATTTATCGTGTTCAATGCCCTCCAATTTTGCCCAATACCCGGTGTGAACATCACATTCCCTGCTCGTAAGCCTCCTATTCATTAACAAAAGAAAAGGCCACTTCGGAAATCAAGGTTTTAGAACCAGATTTAATTTCAGATACAAACAATCAAATGGGCTATCTATAGGAACTAATCTAAGAGAAGATGCATCTAGAAACTGGTTCAGAAATTCAAATTACCTTGAAGGAACCCAGATCTGGTTCTCATTTGATCCCTCGGGTAGTTCTCATCTGATCCAGCCATTTTGATTGTCTAAAAGGAACAGTTATAGAAAACCAAAAGATTCAACTACCTACCAACCAAATAATTGAAAGGCTATAGATGAAGAACACCAACACTGATCAATCAATCAACGCATTCTCATTGGTGAAAGATCACAATAAAAGGAATAAATGAACAATTAAGAACCGAGACCATCGAAGAAAAACGAACCTTTGGGCATTTGATCAAACAACTTATAGGCGCAAATGATAATGTTTGGTGAATCTGTCGATTGGCTATGCGGTGGGTAAGAGCTAAGAAGCAGATAGAGGGAGGAAGACAGAGGCAAAAAAAGAGCGAAGGTAGGAGTCAATAGAAAAGAAGAGAGATGGAGACGAAGAGTACCTCGTTGGTGGCTCCGGTGGCGTCATCTTGGGGACTGGCTGGTGGTCCCATTTCTTCCCCTTCTCAACTCCCATTGGTGGGTAGCACACATCACAAATGCCTCCTTTTCCATTATGAAAAACAAAATGATTAATCTGTGTCTCAAGCGGAAGGCATAATCCTCAACCTCGGCGAATAATTCTATATTTTGCAGCACGACTCAAGATGTGAAGCAGAAGTTGACACCGATCAAACTTATTATGTGAAGCAGAAGTGTGCCGGGTGCGTGTGTGTGCGTGGGTGCTGCAGAGAAGACAAAAAGAGAGAGAGAGAGAAGAGGGGAAGAAAGAGAGAACCTAAATCGCTGCTCTCCATGGTGGTGGGTTGTTGGGCGGCGTGAGAGTGGTAGGTGGCTGTTCGAGCAAATAGAGAAGATAAGAGAAAGTGGAGAGAGAAGAAAGAAGGATTATAGTGAAAACTGGGAAGAGTGCTTGACAGAGGTTGACAGGCGTGTTGCTCCAGGCGCAGTGTATTGGGGTGTGCAGGTGAGAGGCAGGGTAACGTTGAAGAAGACGACGGGTGTGATAAGATGTTTTATTATATAAATATTTATAGGATTTGACTATTTATTTCTCTCTCTCAAATACATAACACATATTAATATAATTAAATAATTAAATTTTTTTATTTTTAATTTTTTTATTGTTCAAATTGCTAGACGAGCCAAATTTTTTTAAGAATCCTATCTCTTATCTTATTCTTTCTCTCTATCTGATACTAACTGTTACAACTTTCACTCCATAACTCTAAGATTTTTATCTCTTTATTTCATAATACAACTCTCTCTCCCTATACTGATATAATTATCTCTTCCTNATAATTCTAAGATTTTTATCTCCCTATTTCATAATACAACTCTCTCACCCTATATCATACTAACTGATACAACTATCTCTTCCTAACTTTAATACTCCTATCTAGGGGTATCCATGAGTCAGGCCGGACTTGTGTAGACCCGTAAATTTTTTCCAGGCCAGGCTTGGGTAGAATAGGCCCGACCCTTATCTAAGTGAGTTATCGGACGGGTTGAACCGGACTGCGTGTAAGGGTAGGCTACCCGGCAGCCCAACCCACAAGTCTATTAAGAGGGCCTGTTCGCGGATTTTTTTATATACAATTTTATTTAAAAATAATGAATATTTTTGTAATTTAATATTTGTGTAAATTATATTTTTGAATCAAAAAGCGAGTCAAAATGGATAATTTTATTTTTAATTAGGGGATGAATTACATCCAATATAATGAATACATCCTAATTAAGTTGACACCTACTCACTTATCTATCATTTGTATTACTCTACAAATTAAAACTTGTATACTTAATACATGAAAAATAAAATAATACATTATTTAGTATTTAAAATTTTAAAACTTCAAATTCTGACATTGAGAGACTTATTTCAAAATTTCAAATTTAATGGTTTAAAATATAACTTTTTTTTTGAAATAAAGGGCAGGCGGGCTATGTGAGCGGGTTGGGCTTGGCGGGCGGGCTATGTGAGCAGGTTGGGCTTGGCAGGCGAGCAGTTGGGACGGGTTTCGGGCAAGGGTAATGGGTTTGGTTGCAAACAAAGGCCTTTTTCAAATATATTGGACTCAGGCTCAGGCGAGTTAACTATTAGGTTTCGGACCTATTTTTTTCGGGCTGGATAATAGGACCCGTTGGTAACTTGGTCCATTGACACCCCTACTCCTATCTCTCATTTACTATATGCAAACATATAGTTCTCAAAATAATAAAAACAAAAAACAAAGTTCAAGCCAATCACCAATAAGAAACAAAACAATTCTCCCAAAAAAACAAAAACCCAAAGTCTAAGCTAATCACCAATAAAAAAAAATTAACAACTGGCCAATAAAAACAAAACAATTCTCCCAAAAAATAAAAACACAAAGCCCAAACTAATCACCAATAAAAAAAAAAGTGATACCAATTGCACCAAAAAATACATAAAAAATAAAATAAAATCCAAGCTAATTACCAATTCTTCCGCGCAAACAAAAGTATAAAATAAAAAAATAACAAGTGATCAATAAAAACAAACAATTGAAACTAATTGTAGTCGTAGAAAAAAATTCAAAACCAATCTAATCGCATCACCACTTCCACACAAACAAAAATATAATTATACAATTCATAAATAAGACATTCAAGTTATTATTCGTAACAAAGATAAATCACTACTGCAAGCACCAAAAAAATAAAATAAAATAAAATTTCAAAGTCAAACCAATTACCAATAAAAAAATAACAAGCCACCAATAAAAAAAAATACATGAAACCAATTACACCAAATGTTAGTGGTGTATGCTTTGGCAAGAGTTTATTGGTTTTAATGTTTAATGTTCATGTCGGTTTAGTCGTAGATGCTTTGACATTTGTTGATTGCTGTTAAATGTCATATGTTACACTTGTATTGTTTATATCTTGATTTAGGTTGATTTTATTACATTTCTTAATTTACGATTGTAAATTTGATTTCATTCTTTTGGAAGCTGGTATAATTTCAAATAACAAATTTTTTTTTTTGATAGTATTTGTGAACTTATTTTTATTATATAGTTGGTTGTATTTGTGGACAGTTTTTTGTTTGATATATTTATTACATATGTGAATTAAGTTTGTAATTATGTTCTGTTATTGAATTGAATGATATTACTAACGTCGAATACATGATTGTTATAGATGAGAAAGATTTTATTGATTTTATTTATTGTTTAAAGATTGTAAATTTAATTTGGTTCTATTAGTAATTTTTTTTTGAGGTAATTATATATATATTGTCGCTTTGAGGAGCTTTTTGTTCATTTTTATGATAGTTCCAATAATACGGGGGTAAGTCATTTTAAAAGAAGAATTGATATGAATGTTTTCAAAACAATTTTTTTTTTAATTTGAACAATTACATAAGATTTTTTTGTTTATTACATAGTGATTTCAGGTATGGACAATAACTATTANATTTTTTTTTAATTTGAACAATTACATAAGATTTTTTTGTTTATTACATAGTGATTTCAGGTATGGACAATAACTATTATATGTATAAACTAGTAACATTGAATATTAATATTTGAAAAAAATGACAGTAGTAACATGGTCAACAAAAAAAAAAGTAATATTAAATATTGATATTTCAGAAAAATAGTAACATTCAATATTAATATGTTCCTTATAAAAAAAAATAATAATATGTTCAACAAAAAATAGTAACATGCACAAAAAAAAATATTAACACGTATAGTAACTTTTAATATTATAAATTAACTACAGTTTTCTCAGCAGCAAAAAAAAATGAGAGAGAGATGATAATAATATCAAATTTAAATTAAATTTGAATTTCAAATTTTTTGGAAAAATATCTTCCATTAAGTGTGAATCAATGATGACTATTTAGAAAACTAATTTAATATTGAATATTGGTTTTTAAGTCATTAGAATGACATTTTAGAGTTTAAAAAAAANAATTACATAAGATTTTTTTGTTTATTACATAGTGATTTCAGGTATGGACAATAACTATTATATGTATAAACTAGTAACATTGAATATTAATATTTGAAAAAAATGACAGTAGTAACATGGTCAACAAAAAAAAAAGTAATATTAAATATTGATATTTCAGAAAAATAGTAACATTCAATATTAATATGTTCCTTATAAAAAAAAATAATAATATGTTCAACAAAAAATAGTAACATGCACAAAAAAAAATATTAACACGTATAGTAACTTTTAATATTATAAATTAACTACAGTTTTCTCAGCAGCAAAAAAAAATGAGAGAGAGATGATAATAATATCAAATTTAAATTAAATTTGAATTTCAAATTTTTTGGAAAAATATCTTCCATTAAGTGTGAATCAATGATGACTATTTAGAAAACTAATTTAATATTGAATATTGGTTTTTAAGTCATTAGAATGACATTTTAGAGTTTAAAAAAAAATAGTAGACTTAACTACTTATTAGTAAAATTAAAAACGAATTTACCTTCAAATAAATTTTTTTAACGGATTAAATTTATTATAAATCGTTTAAGAAGGACTTGGCCCCAATTCTCACTTAATTTTTAACATTCTTGAAATGCACTAACTATTTGGATTAGTTACATTGACCCGTTTTGAGTTTTGATCAAATAATTCAAAATTCATCAACATTTTAATAATAACACGATAATCAGCTTAAAATCCAGTGACTTCCCAACTAGATCTCACCATGAAAACCAGTTAAACGACTATGGTTGGGTTGCACGAAGCGATCAACTTCAAGGATTTTTACTTGTCGAATAAAAAAAAAAACTTGCCGGGTTTTTAATCGATACATTTTCTACTACTGCATCAAGAAATGACACAATAAAACTTTTCCAATTATTCCAACCTTTTGCTATTTTTACATTCATGGGGTCTTGTGAAGTATTTCCATATTTCCCACCAATTGCATTTTTCAAATTCATATACACAATATATATATATCCAATACTATCATCTATTGACAGATTTGGAAAATTGTATAGTACAATCTTTCAGGTAAAGAATGAAGCAAAGACTTCGATCACTACCATTCAACTCATGGGTTGGGGTGGGGGAAGAGAGAGAAAAGAAGGGGGGGGGGGGGGCCGGCCTGCGGTCCAAAACCGGTCAACTAAACCCCATCNGGGGGGGGTGCAGGCCTGCTGTCATAATCAGTGTCCATTTGAGAAATGGCCTATCAAGGGCATGAAAAACAGGAACAATGCCATTGTTTTGGATTTTCGTTTTGTTTTGTTTACATAAGGGTTGGGTTTTAGCCTGGAATTGAACTTGAAGACGGACCAGAAAATGTGTAATTTTGAGGGAGAGGCGGCGATATGAACTCGGGAGGACATGGTGCTGGAGCAGGATGTGCAATGAAGGTAGGAATTTCTTCTCCAGGCATCAATACCGAAACCCCATTGGCATAAGTAGTTATCTGCAATATAACAGGCAAACATACATATTGAGGGATGATTCCGGAGGTATAAACAAAATTATTGAAATCAAAGGAGAGGAAAATATGAGCAGAATTACATACAAGTTTTTCAAGTCATTGAAAAAACCAAGTTAAGTAGTGCAGCATATCGCGTTCTATCATTGTCTCAAATTCAGCAAATGATGCCCAGTAAAAGAATAAGGGGTCTTTTAGTAACGCTTTCTGAAGCAACTTTTTTAAGCCAGAAATGAAATGCCCCAAAAGAATAGGTAACATTGGAGGATAAGAGCAAATCCAGAAAAGGAGAAACAAAAAAAAAGTAACAATATAAAGCAAAACACTACTTTAAAAAGTACCAAAACGTTGTCAAATGGTATCAAAAGTTCAAAACAAGTCACCCAACACCTACGAAATGAGATAATTAGAATAAGATAAAGGCTCATCGGGCAATTAATAAAAATCCTGAATAGGAGTGGAAGTCACCAAAAAGTGAGCTCATATATATATATATATATATATATATATATATTTATTGCCTCACCCTATGTTTAAAATAACTAATGTACTCATTAAACATGATGCTGGTCTTGTGGAGATCATGTGTCTTTCATCTCATTTGGAAGATGCATACAATTTTGACACCAAATGCAATCTTTTTATAGTCACTTTGTGGTTCACTTTTCATTTTACAATGAAAGCAGTTGGACACACCCCCAAAATCAGTGACATAAGGTTTTGACTATATCATTCTTAAAGATGCTACATTAGGGCATAAAAGGGTGGCATTAGTTACGCACATATCATTATTTTACATTAAAGATCATATAAAAAGCACTAAAATAAAAATGATGTCCAGCAGATTCACAATGCACTCCATAAATCAAAGGCTTGTCACAACCAAACCCTATGTCAGTCAAGTTAAAAATAGCTAAGCAAAATGTCACTTAGACAGAGAGATATGGCAAGTGCACAGTTTATTCAAAGGTGACCTATAAAATAAACAGAAAGGGATAGATAGGTGCGTAGGCCACATGGTATGGAGAGACTAAACAAGTTTGGTTAGTGTTGGGCACATCCTAAAAGGATTCATGGTCACTTCAAATTTGTTTTATATGAAATAACACAAATAGATGATAGTTTTGGCATTGTTCAGAACTAGCCCTAGGGATGGAGATTTAGATTATCGGGAGGTTATCTAGGTTAAAATTTAAGTGAACATACATTTTCAGTACTGATTTTGAATGCTTGTCCAGCATTGCTTAGAAAACATTCACACTGAAAATTTGAGGGCAAGTGGTGATGAAGTTTGTGGTATGATAAATTTTGAAGGCAAGTGGATCCAGGTCAATTAGAAAGAGATTTCTAGGCAATGACAACTCCGAGTAGTTTTATTTACCAAAGAAAAAAAAATGAGGGCATTATTGGATGGTCCTGTATACACTGTTAGAACAACTAAGATAATTATTAAACAGGATTCACTTGTTTTCTAGTTATGGGTCTTTTTACCTACAGGTCACATGGGGTGCTAATAATGGTTTTAAAGTGCCCAGGTTCAACAGAAATAAAAAGTAGATAAAGTTGGGCATGGTTTATGCATAATCTATGGAATTTAGGCAAGAACACATGCTGGTGACAAACAGGGGACCCATAAGCCTAAAGAAACCATAAAAAGCAGACAAACAATTATACTAATGTCTCTCTTGCTTGAGTCACATTTAAGGATAAACCGATAAAACCGGGTGGAAAAGTTCTGTACACAACTAATTAGCATTAATAGAAGGATATGCAAACACATTAGACTAAAATGAATTTGAGATATGACTTGAGTATGATGGATATTCAGAATGTAATATTATGAACAAGCAAAGAAGCGCTATAAATTGGGCATAAAATAAAAGAAAAGCTATGAATACCTTAGAGTTTTCTATTTAGCATGTATGTAGTGATGTGCCAAGGATCCTAGTGATTATTATTCCAAGATCTCAATCGAATAAAGTTGTGTTTAGGTGCCGTATCAATATAATATCGTAATATAATATTGCAGAATTGTATAATTCAGCCCACTATAGAAACTCCAATCCATCCAACTCATCCTCCATGAAGATGATGAACGTCTAAGGGACTATAAACAAACCAATTGGAGAATTTGTCATTGTGGCACTAAATTTCTCACACTACTTGGTGCGATGAAAAAATAACTACACGGAATTATGGGTTTGCTTGCAATACTATTTTGCCAGTAATTTAACAAGGATGGTGATAATTCAAAAACTGTTCAATTTGGGATGGGATCAAAATTAGGCAGGAAAGTGAAAATTTAGTAAGCAGAGACAATGTTTATAATTTTCAATGGAAGTTAATTATGAAAAAAATACATGTTTACCATTGAGTTCCCAAAACAAAATGGTGTTTCTGGTGGTTGAAGATCATCAAGTAAGCATGAAATTAGGGTCCTCCAAACATGGGGATTCAAGAGAGGACCCACTAATGGATGGTCTATAAGCAAAGGAATAAATGGGGCCCTAATAACAACCATCTTGTCTGCTGGTAGAGTTTGTTACAGACAAAGAGTCACATGAACATAGAGATGAAAATGTTTCCAACTTTGGCTTTACATCAACCAAAGCCACTATTTTCTCAAAAAATTAGTCTGCTTTTAGCCTGCATATTGAAAACTATAGAAGAAAATAAGTAATGCATCTAATGTTAACACCACAAAAATTAATGAAACCACAAAGAAATTAAATCCCCAAAATGGATAATCAGAGGTGTTATCTTGAAGACATAATATATATCTAGGACCCATTCATAATAAATATACTCACTAGTCAAATTGCATAGATTAGCCATGGTGAAACATCGCACAAAGTAAGTGACAGTCACACTAAACATCTTTTCTTTCTTTTCTGGGGTAAGAAGAAAATTAGGAAAATTGAACTATGGGCATTATCACTTAGCTTAGAATGCTTGAGAAGCACTTACAGAAAAAAAAAAAAAAAAAGAAAGAAAGAAATAGGGGGTTGAGAGAGAGAGGCATTTCAATTTTCTTCAACAGAGATGATTTACTTGATAGGAAACATCTGGTATACTCAGTAATATATGCAAGAAAAGAATTAAAAACCACACACTCAACGATATTAAACGGGCAGAGAGAGAGAGAGAGAACCTTGGGAGATGGGTAATTGAGCTTCCCATTGGCCATCATCTGCNAATTTTCTTCAACAGAGATGATTTACTTGTTAGGAAACATCTGGTATACTCAGTAATATATGCAAGAAAAGAATTAAAAACCACACACTCAACGATATTAAACGGGCAGCGAGAGAGAGAGAACCTTGGGAGATGGGTAATTGAGCTTCCCATTGGCCATCATCTGCGCCGCGACTTCCCCACCGTTCCGTCCACCGGCAGCGGCCGATCTGGACCGCAGAAACCTCTCAAATATAGCCATNGCGCCGCGACTTCCCCACCGTTCCGTCCACCGGCAGCGGCCGATCTGGACCGCAGAAACCTCTCAAATATAGCCATAACAAGGAACATAGAAATGAGAATCGCAGTGGCAACAAACCCAAAAGACACAGCATTGACAGAACTGTCGAAGTTTTTCCAGTGACCTTCTCTCTCTATAATAGCACTCACTGGAGCTACACTTGGTGGTTGTAGTGCCCCCCAGACACTACTACTCTCTCTACCCATTTAAGCGACTCTCTATGTACCCTTTATCTCTCATAGCCAATCAAACAAAGGTTGCAGAAGGATTGTTCTTTTTTCATAGCATTCTACTTCGACCTTGATTAAAGAAAATGGCCACTGCTACTCTGAAAACAGACGCAGAGAGAGAGTGTCACCAATCAAAGGAGGCTACAAGGCGACAAACAGAGAAAGACCCGCTTGTTTTTTTACTTCATGATAATGTAGTCCTACATTTGTTGAGAGAAATGGGCATTTGCTGTTTATTCGGGATTTCGATCGAGAGAGAGGGAGAGAGAGGTGATGCTGGATTCGAGAGGAGTAACTACCAAGCTCTATGTAATATAAAAAAATCACACTCTAATCTTTTAAAGCTAAGGCCTAATAAATGGTCTCTTTCACTCTTCACGGGGATGACAGAAAAAGTGAGAGAGAGAGAAAGATGGGCAGTGGGCACAGGCTGACAAGAGAACGATTTTGGGATGGTCGAGCCTTGAGAAGTACAAGGTACTGTGTTGGCTGTGCTGATGTCACTCTCAAATTATAATATTTTCTTTTTGTTTACAAGAGATTAAGTATGTGTCAACTATTTCTTTGTGATCGATTATCATGACTTGAACTACTTTAAAACAAGTCCTTAAAAAAATAAGAATAATTAACTATTAATAGGTTTAAGTAGGGGTGTTCNTTTAAAACAAGTCCTTAAAAAAATAAGAATAATTAACTATTAATAGGTTTAAGTAGGGGTGTTCACCCTATCATACGGGTAGAAAATATGCTCTTTCGTCTTCTTATCCGATACTTTACAGAAGAGTTTTTTCTTGGCCTACCCTACTCGACAGGTGTGGTATTCTTACCCGACTTCCTACCCGATTAATCGGGTAGGAAGTCGGTTAGTAAATCGGGTAAACATTTTTGTAACAATTAATTTTTTAATTATTTTAACAATTTAATTAAATAACATGAACTAATTTAAAAACACAATAAATCAATTAACACTAAAATCTAAAATAACTACATCAAGAATTATAATAAAACACAAGAAAGTATAAACATCAATCCACCATAATTATTACACAAATACAATAACAATTGATTTAAGTTTAAACTTTGAATCATATGAAATACATTAAAATCATAATTGTTTCGCTTATTGTTAGGGTTATATATATATAAATTAAATTATTACGGGTAGGGTAGTGTAAAAATACGAAAATGAATGACTATTCCGTATTATTACTCGATTTTTGTGATTAGCCGTTTAACATGGTAGGTTAGGGTCGAGTAAGATAGGAACTTGCGGCCGGTCAAAAATTTGAACACCCCTAAGTTTAAGAAGAGTTGAATCTAAAACCATCAAATAACAAAAGTCAATATCAATCACCGAATCATCCTTTAAAAAAACTTTAAATTATAGTTAAATACTAGCATGTGTGATCAAATTTATTAAGTTTCCTCGTCTCAATCTCCAGTTTTGATCATTTACAGTTACGATCAATCATTTACTATTACGTTCCGTCTTAATTAGTTTTACATTATCCTATTAATTGAGCATTTTATTTTCAAATATTAATGTACAAATTTGGCACCCCCAAAAAAACAAAGGGTACGTTGACAGTTCATCCATCAGTCCAAACCCGAGACAGTCTTTAAATGGGCTTTAAATTTACTAGTTAGATTGAATATCTATTGAAGATAAATTATTGAAACTTTCACAAAATACCATTGTTATTAATTTAACACAAAGATTTGAAAGTTTTTTCTATTCAGAAATAAAAAATGTTCAGGTTCTTATTTATTGGTTTTTAATGGCATTTTATGTACTAGTGGGGTTGCACACGGTCACCCTCGTGCATAATTATAAAAGAGTGATGGAGATAAGTATGAGAGTGAGAAGAAATCTAAAGAGACAAATTATATTAACAATTGAATAATAGGGAGTTATCGGTAATTGAGGGGTTATGGCCTTATGGGTACTTAAGATAGAAAGAGAATGAAGAGATTAGAGGATTTTTAACCCTAACTCTAATTTATGAGTAAATAATGGTTGTAATCAGGGGCGGAGTTAGGAATTCAATTTAGGGTGGACATTTTACCTAGAGGTTGATCA